GGGCCTAGCCTGAGCACTGGAAAAAATTATACATCGTTATTTTGGAATTTTACCCAATTGTTCTAAGCGTATTGTTATGGGGTCACCTTTTGCGTGATCAACGCGTATTATTTCACACAGACAACGCAGCATTGGTCTAAATTATAAATAGATCTACCTCTCGGGACCCGACAGTGATGATATTTGTTCGTCGCCTGGTGCTAGCTTGCTAAAAATTTAACATTTTGCTCCGTGCCAAACATATACCAGGTGTGTACAACCATCTAGCTGATGCCTTGTTGCGTTTTCAGGTTTCAAAATTCAAAGAGCCAGCCCGGCGCGAACGTTAACACTTTGCCGTCGGTTGTTCCCGAACACCTACTACCGCACAGTTGGAAGCTGTAACTTCTATTTTACTACAATCTAGTTTGCAGCCATCGTCAGTCCCCACTTATCGTCGTGCTTGGAAATTATTCCAACAAATTTCGCATGAGGCTCTTCAAAGAGCTTTAGTTTCACTTCCCATTTCACCGACAGACCTCAGTTTATTTATTGCATTCCTCTTCCAACGTAAGTATGCGCCTTCTACGGTGCTTACATATGTGTCTGCGCTTGGGTACTGCCATCGAATGGCGGATTACCCTGACCCTAGTAAAGCTTTTTGGATTGTTCAGATTTTAAAAGGCTATAAAAAGATAGGAACTCGAATTGATTCTAGGTTGCCAATTACTATGCCCTTACTTCGCAGTATTCTGCGGAATATAGCAACATTAACTTCCACTGTGTATTTTCTGATGCCCAGATTCGTGCAATGGGTTGTTGGCGATCGGACGCATTTCACAAATACATTACAGCTCCAAGTTTAAATGTTTCTTCGTTGTAAGGCCGGGGGTTTTACGGTGGCTGCATTCTTGTTTGGCAAGACAAATGGTCATAGTACATATTCTGTTGTAGTTGAGGTTGGGCAAAATGATCTTACTTGCTGTCGCTTAGCTGATGCAGGGGCTAGGCTAGCGGCTGCATGATTTCTTTTTGCATTGTGTTCATTCTGTGTTCGGATGCAGGGGCTACGTTCACAAACAACAGCATAGCAGTGGGATTGATATCTCTTTATCTCACTCATAGATGAACAGTTGTGGTACGTTCATAGTTAATAGGTCTCATCTTCTTAAACATTTGTCTTGCTCGTTTAAAAAATTATTAGCGTTCTTATATATTTTATTGTACAGGCGTTTCTGTGGCTGATGGGTTGGGGCGGCCTCCTTAGCTCAGGTGGCTTATGGCGTTTTTATTATCCAACCTTTTCTGTGCTATACAGAAAAACTTTATTCGTAAAGATTTTTGTTTAAATTGTGTAAAATAATTAATTTATATTAAGTTAACTTGTTATTTCTGTTTTAATAAATCGGCATGTGCTTTCACACATTGCCAATTTTTATCCAAAAGAGAGTACTCTTTAATGTCATGCGCACAGAAAACAGAGCTCATCAGCCCAAGAACCTCTTGAATTTCGATTTGTTATGATTAAGCGGAAGCGATAAAAGATAAAAGTTTCTCCGGATTATAAATGATTTTTTCGTTGAGCTTTCACGATATCACATGGAACATCATTACTCACAGCAAACCGTACAACAGCGCCAACAAAAGATGCAACCTATGCCTGAAAGAAAAATACTTTATTACCTACCAACCACCACTATCATCACTCAACAAACGTAACGAACATATCGCGTCCTGTCGCCATAGACACAAGGCACTTTTATCCAATTTGTAACCATACACTCAACATATTATGTAATTCTATCTTAATTTTTACCCTAACTTCCTCTAGTAAAAATAATCTAGCACATGCTTTTGTATTCGTTTAATATTATCCCTTAAAAAGTGAGAAATCACGAAACAGGCTTGTCGTGATGAAATTGTAGTTTTTGTGTATTTTCTTCTTCTTATCAATATTTACGCTCTGCTCTTAAGCATCGTTTTGTTTATTTGAATCTACTTACTGAGATTCAAATAAACAAAACTTCCTATGACGCTCCAATATAAAATTTTGTCGAGCACTGTATGATAATCTGCAATGTAGAAACTAAACTTCAACTACAGCATAAAGAATATTCCTCTACCATCACCAATTGAATACCTGCAACGACTCATCGAAAAATCGGAGTCCTTCATTTGGAAGGCTTATTTCTTTCTCAACTCGAGATCTACCACAGCTTCTAAAGGCACCTTTGGTTTCAATAGCACAAAAAACCCTCCACCGATTGACGACTTAAAACAATTCGAAAACGACATGATGAAGATGATGCAATCAGTAAAATTTAAAAAAGTACTCAACGCATTTCTCACTGAAATAAAAGACAACATCACAGCCATCAAACACGAAAAAAGCTACTTATCGCATTCGACAAAACAACAAACTTCTACAAACTAGACAAGCCAGCATACAACGACCTCCTACAACAAAATATCACGAAATCATGCAAGAAAATAAACGTCGATGCAATACAAGCCATCTACACCTAGGACAAAAATATCACATAACAATGGGTATATCTGACAGAGTAGACTCCACCGTTAACAAAGACGCATTGATAACACTTAAAGATCACAAACCGAACTTCACAAATAAACTCACCTGCCGACAAATCAACCCGACGAAATCTGAAATTGGAAAAATTAGCAAAAAAATACTGGACAGAATAAACAACAATATCATTAAAGCCACTTCGCTGAACCAATAGAAAAACTCGTCATCTGTCATCAAGTGGTTCAACTCCATCAAACACAAACAAAATCTAAACTTCATATCTTTCGACATTGTAGACTTCTACCCGTCTATACACCAAGACCACTTGAACAAAGCACTTGATTTCGCCTCCACTCACGACAACATCACAAACTAAGAGAGAAACATCATCATACATGCCAAGAATTCATACCTCATTCACAACCACTAACCCTGGCAAAGAAACACAACTCCACATTCGACATGTCAATAGGAAGCTTCGACGGCGCCGAGACATGCGAACTTGCCCCTGCACTTCTTCTTTCCGCCACAAAAAACTAAGAAACTCCACCAAACTTAGCAAACACATATGGACATTAAAAGACAACAACATCACTCACGATATCTCATGGAACATTATTACTCACAGCAAACCTTACAACAGTGCCAACAGAAGATGCAACCTATGCCTGAAAGACATAGCCTAAAAGACTCTAACACACCATAAAGACTCTAAAAGACATGTGCCTAAAAGACTCTAACACACCATACACCATACACCATCAACTGGAAAATTGTAAAGAAATCACAACCTTACTCAATAAAAACCAAACGCGGTAATTTATGCCTCTCGGAGAATTTCTTCGTCATCTTCCACCCAAAACTCAGCTGGCTCATTTAATGAAACGAACTCCTTTCCTCATTCCGCCATCGTAATAAACATTTACTAACGTCATTAATGTGCACTATATCACCTAAACTCTCAATTATTCATCTTTGTGTATAAGTTCCGTTGTGCTATAGTGCTATATTTATTCTCCTGACGAGTGTGGCAAGTTAAACAACTGCCATACGAAACAGTTCTGTAGGGAATAAATTTCGATGAATTAATTCGCGGTTTTGTTTTCTTTCAATTATACCGCTCTGCCGTGGCATTGAGCACTCTATCCGTGTGATTTTGTTTGCGATAATTTCTATCACAAAATCCCATTATATATATGCATAAAAGATAAAAGTTTCTCCGGATTATAAATGATTTTTTCATTGAGCTTTCGACTCGTTGCTCCGAGCTTTCGTCATTATGAGGATATTATTTATTTACTCGTGCTTTTAGCTTTGAGACGTTTAGAGCGTCTCATTGGATTAGTTACTGCTGATTGGTAGGATTTGTTGTGGTTTGCATTTGCACAAAATCATTTAAAATTGATTAAACGTGGAGAAAGTTTTATCTTTTTTGTATTAAATTTCTGGATTACCAATTTTCAAACTCATAGATATATTAATAAGTTGGATTGTGTAAAGAATCTCATATGGAGACGTTCACCTTGTTTGCGATATGCAAAGCTCACCTTTATAGGTTTGAGCAGTGTGGTGACTCTACAATACAATCCATACAATGTGTAACAGTACGTCCTGTATCCCAAGTGAAGTAGTCACCATATAAATATGGTGAAAACAGGGACGGCACTTTGTATATACATATATATATATATATATATATATATATATATATATATATATATATATATATATATAAGGAGAGAAAATACACAAAAACTACGATTAAATCCCTGAAGAGTGAGCAATCACGAAACAGGCTTGTCGGGATGAAATTGTAGTTTTGTGTATTTTCTCCTTACCAATATTTACGCTCTGCTCTCGGGCATCGAGCACTGTTTTATACGGAAAATCATAAATTATAAACTTCCTATATATATATATATATATATATATATATATATACAGTACAGATAATGTTAGCTCATAATATTACGGATTATTTTTACTTCATTTTATATATATAAATATATATACAAAGTGTATTACAATGTGCCCTCCCGGCTATCACCATAGTAAAACAGTGACTCCTGCACTTTGGACACAGGACGTACGGTTACACATTGTATGGATTGTATTGTAGAGTCACCACAGTGCTCAAACCTATAAAGGTGAGCTTTGCATATCGCGAACACGGTGAACGTCTCCATATGAGACTCTCTACACCAGTGGTTCTTAACCTTTTGTTGGTCACGGACCCCCAAAACATTGTAATGAAAGCTTTGGACCCCTTTAGAAGAAACACATCGCAATTGTCAAAATTAGCTTTTAATTAACTTAGTAATATAGTCCAGAAATTTGCAGACCAAACAGAAGCAAATTAATAATTCAACGAATAATAATGAATAATAAATCAATTACCGAGTCAATTAAGTTATACAACAATTACAAAACCATAAAGAATCAAAAAATACAGTGCAGTAACCAATAAGTAGAACGCAAATAACTTTTTAAATCAATGCGAAGGTTGTTCCTGCTTATCTTCAACAAGAACACGAAATTGTGGGACGGTTTTTGCCAGGGCCACACGCATGTTATCCTTAGCATCCAACCGATTTCGCTGTTTCGTTTTGATAGCAAGAAGAGCAGAAAACCCTGCCTCACAGAGGTAGGTAGTAGCAAAAGGAATAAGAGCAACCATGGCTCTCTTCACCAGGCGAGGATACGCTTGTGCCAAGGAACACCAAAATTCTGCAAGGTTCTTTGAATTGAATTCGCTCCTTAGCATTTGCATTGTCCTCAACTCAATGAGGTCATCTTTGGCAAGATCGTCATCACCAATAGAATTTAGATCTGCAAGAAATGGGTTGCGAATCCACAATTCAAAATTCGGATCATGTGAGCAATAACTTTCAAATAATTGCTGCAATCTGTCTAAATTTTCGCACATATTTCCACGTAGAGAGGAAAGCAGGGCTTCAGTATTATCGATTCGAGTTTGAGAGATCACTTCCTCCAGCATTGGGAAGTTGGCAAAGTTGTCTGTCTCAAGTCTTCTTTTCCACAAAGGAAGCTTTGCTTGAAAAGCCTGCAGTCTTTCTGTAACGTCCATAATCGTTACATCTGGTCCTTGAAATGACAGATTTACTTCATTCAAATGACCGAAAATATCTGCCAAGTAAGCTAAGCCATAAAGAAACTCCTTTCTGTCAAATTGCACTGATAGAGGATTTTGTTTTTCTCGTAAGAAGAATGAAACTTCCTTTCTCAGTTCCATCAAACGCTTCAAAACTTGACCTCTCGAAAGCCAGCGAACTTCAGTGTGGTACAAAAGTACTTCATGTTGTGCACCCATTTCTTGGCAAAGTCTTTTGAATATACGATTGTTTAAAGCTCGAGCTCTGACAAAGTTGACGATCTTTACAGAAACAGACAAAATTTCTTTTAAAGCTGGTGATAGAGTTTTTGATGCCAATGCATGTCGATGTAGAAAGCAATGAGTCACAATGATGTGAGGAGCTTTCTTTACCAACGAAGCAAACCCTGAGGTTTTTCCAAGCATTGCAGGCGCTCCGTCGGTACACAAACTACCAATATTTCTCTTCCAATTGAAGTCTTGTTTGGCAAAGAAATTGTTCACCATCTCTAATACGTCTGCAGCCTTTGTAGTTTCTGAGAGAGGCTCGCAAAATAGGAATTCTTCTTTAATTGCATCAGCGTGCATATAACGAACATATACAAGAAGCTGGGCACACTGAGAGACATCTGTGCTTTCATCCAGTTGCATGCTAAATGGAAATGGTGATGCTTTAAGTTCCTCCATTACTTGTTTCAGAATATTATTAGAAAGGTCAATAATTCTGGAGCTGATGGTATCGTTTGACAAGGAAACGGCTTCAAGTTTCTTTCTTTGTTCTGTGCCACATACTAGCTCAGTCATTTCCAGAGCACACGGTTTTATCAATGTCTCTCCGATAGTGTGAGCTTTCTTTGCCTTGGCAATGCGGTAAGCGACCTTATAAGATGCTTCAAGGCAAGGCTTCTGCGTCTTGATGAATCGAACTTCGGCAAAGTCCCTGATTTCTCAAATCGAGCCTTCTTAGAACGAAAAGAATCAACACTATCCAGTGCGTTTTTAGGATGAATAGATATGAGGTGCTCTTTCAGTTTCGCTGGCTTCAAACTTGCATTGGCAAGGACTTTACCACATAGAAAACATTGCGGCCTTTCGCTGCCATCACTATCAGTAATAAAGGTAAAACCAAAAGCTACATAATTTTCACTGTACTTTCTCTTCTTCGACATTTTTTTAAATTGGTAAAATTTTTAATTTATTTATCCTTCCAGGTTATAAACCTTTGTAGTAGAAAACACATAAGCAAATTGACAGCTTTCTATAATACTCAATGCAGCATACACGTGCACGGTTTTTTGTTCCATCTATTTATTCTATTACGACATAGAGTCTATGTCGTAATAGAATCATACACAATGTCTATGTCATAGACATTGTGTATGATTACATAGGCCTATTTATCACAAATGCGATGTGTAAGAAACATTAGACTACTAATTATAAATGCACAATAGAAAAGAAAAACATGTCAATCATACTTCAGTTAAATATACATATCGAAGGCGAAAACATCTTGTTTTTATTCCGTCCAAAGATTTGTGAGCATATATTTCGAACGATCATTAAACGATGTTGCTTTTTTAGGTTCTAATCGGTGAATAGAAATACGTAGCCTAATGTAGATATTCTTATTTGGATTTGCGGACCCCTTAAAGCACCATCATGGACCCCAGGTTAAGAACCCCTGCTCTACACAATCCGACAGTGCTCAAACTACGCACGCGCAGTGAGCGTTATATACGAATTATATAATTAATATATTTTGTTTATATTATATACATATTAACTATATAAAAGATAAACGTTTCTCCGGATTTTTAAATGATTTTTATTGAGCTTTCGACTCGTTGCTTCGAGCCTTCATCAGAATGAGGATATTTATTTAAACGTGCTTTTTAGCTTGGAGACGTTTAGAGCGTCTAATTGGGTAAGTGGGTGGATTAATGTGATTGGATGGGGTGAAATGCGTTGCCATGGGTTTTGGTGTATGGTTAATATGATTGGTGTTAATAATATTAGAGTGTAGTGTTTTAGTTTTGGTGTTGTTTGTAGTTTTTTTGTCCTTTTTCTTTAGTTGTGAGTATATGATGGGTATGTCGATATGTCTGTTTATTGTGTCGTTGTCTTTACTGTACCAAGCTTCTTTAAATTCGCGTACGTGTTTAGTCTGTGCGCGTCCGAGTACTTTAGTTTCTGTCCAGTCGAATGTGTGGTTGTTTCCGTGGGTATGTTCTGCCGGTAGTGAGTTCGGATCTCGTCGTTTTATGGCATTTTTGTGTTCTGTAAGTCTTGTTTCAATTTTCTTAGATGTTTGTCCTATGTATTGCTTTGAACAGTCTTTACATGGTATCATGTAGATCGCGTCAGTTGTATCATGAATTGTTGTTTTGTCTTTATGTTTGGTGAAACATGATTTAAGTTTTTGTGTAGGTTTGTGGGCGACGTTAATATTAAATGGTCGAAGAAGTCTGGCAGTCATTTCTGATGTTCCGTTTATGTATGGTAATGTAACGATTTTTACTGTTTCGTCCGTTTTTTTGTTGCTTTTGTCGGTTTGTGTTTTGTTTTGTATTTTGTATATAGTTTTGTTTATGAAGTTTCTAGGGTAATTGTTTTTAATAAATGTGAAGTATAAGTAGTTGCGTTCTGTTTTTTTGGCTTCTTCCGTATTACAATGAGTGTTTATCCTGTTGAAAAGTGTTCAAATGCAGCTTATTTTGTGTTGTGTTGGTTGGATGATTTCTGTTGAAATGGAGTATTTTATCTGTGTGGGTGGTTTAGCGGTATACTTGTGTGTTTAGTGTACCGTCATCTGTTCTGGTTAGTAGGATGTCTAGGAAGGTAAGTTGTTTGTCGTATTCTTCGTCTTTAGTAAAGGTTCTTTGTGGTATTGTTTATGGTGTGTAGGATTTGTTCAGTTTTGTCTTTCTTGACTATGGCAAAGATGTTCTCCACTGAATTCACCTTCCAAAACACATACTACAGACAAATTTCAGGCACACCAATGGGATCACCACTATCCACCTTCCTCGTAGAAGCTGTCCTGCAACACCTAGAAACACAATTAGTCACAAACAACACAAACTTCAGACTATGGAAAAGATATGTCGACAACGTCTTTGCCATAGTCAAGAAAGACAAAATTGAACAAATCCTACACACCATAAACAATACCACAAAGAATATTACCTTTACTAAAGACGAAGAACAAGACAAACAACTTACCTTTCTCGACATCCTACTAACCACAACAGATGACGGTACACTAAACACACAAGTATACCGCAAAAGCACCCACACAGACCAAATACTCGATTTCAACAGCAATCATCCAACACAACACAAAATAAGCTGCATTCGAACACTTTTCAACAGGATAAACACTCATTGTAATACGGAGGAAGCCAAAAAAACAGAATGCAACTACTTATACTCCACATTTATTAAAAACAATTACCCTAGAAACTTCATAAACAAAACTATATACAAAATGCAAAACAAAACACAAACCAACAAAAGCAACAAAAAACCGGACGAAACAGTAAAATCGTCACATTACCATACATAAACGGAACATCAGAAATGACTGCCAGACTTCTTCGACCATTTAATATTAACGTCGCTCACAAACCTACACAAAAACTCAAATCATGTTTCACCAACCATAAAGATAAAACAACAATTCATGATAAAACTGACGCGATCTACATGATACCATGTAAAGACTGTCCAAAGCAATACATAGGACAAACATATAAGAAAATTGAAACAAGACTCACAGAACACAAAAACGCCATAAAACGACGAGATCCAAACTCACTACCGGCAGAACATACCCACTGAAACAAGTACACATTCGACTGGACAGAAACTAAACTACTCCGACGCGCACAGACAGGGGCCGCGGAAGTATCTCAAAAGTGGGGGGACACTGACCGAAAAGGGCATGTGAGCTTGCAGCTTACTGTTTTAGTATATTACAGATATGCATTGTTTCATGAATCATGATTAAGTTTCAAAGTCTGCAAAATATTGGTAAACATTCTTAAAATGCTATGCGTATTCACTACTGCTCGGCGTGCGTGCTAACAAACTAAGATGACTACATGAACAATTTTATTAAGTAAAGCGATCTCAATAAAATTTCCCAAAAAATCTAACCCTACGTTCGTTTTTCAGAACAAAGTCCTTAGCTATTAAACGTAAGTCCAGTTCGTCAGTTCTGGCCTTGTTTACATCCATAACAATAAGATTATTGTAGCGTGCTGCCGTCATTGTGCTCCTGAGATGTGTCTTGACAAGCCGCTGGCATGAAAAAAAAGTTCTCCAGAGGCTGCGCTTATTGGAGCAACAAAGTAAATCAAAGTAAGACGTGTGCTTTATTTCTTCTAGTGTAGGATGGTAAGGCTGTCGGCCTGTACAGCACAAATTCTTACAATCGAGTCCTAGCAAACATTCCGTTGACTCAATTTGCATAGGTCCTACCAATAGGGTGGTAGTCGTGGAACTTGTCAAAGACGCATATGTTAGGTTTTGAGAAGGTGTGTGAACTGGCTCGGTCGGCGGCGCGACTAGTATCTCTAAAGACGATATAAACTCAGAATTGCCGAATTTTGGTTTGGAATGAGAATGAGGAGATAAATACGATGATGGAGTTTCTGTAGCTGACGGCAGTGTCAAACTTGACCTAGAGTCGATGTTTTGGTCAACAACATTCTCTGCTGGAGCACTACTAAAAAACTCGTCAGTTTTCACAACCTTTTAGCTGTTTCTACAAGCTCTTTTTCTTTTTCTCGTTTTCACCTAGAAGCTCTAGGCATGATGATTTTGATTCAAGTGATTTAAACCGCAAAATTTTCAATTATTATGATCATGAATTGTCAACAGTTTTGTAGGACCAATGGCCTGAAAGACAATACGACAGGAGCAATGCGTTGCCGTAGAATTTATAGTCTCATGTGGATCATAAATTGCGACTTCTCATTGGTTGATTAAGTTACTGGGCGGACGTCTGCGAAGACAACCCCAATCAACAAACGCGATTTTTGATCCATCTGGGTAATCAAGATAAAAAACTAAGCTATAGCTGATTTCGCATGATGCCGACGGACTTTGTTCTACTCTCGGGGCTACTTTTATCTAAGAAAAACATCTTCAGTCCAATTTTACCTAAAACAAGGGCATTTCTACACCATGAAAAAGGGCACTTTCATTCCAGAAAAAGGGCAAATTTTTCCCTGTAGTAAAAAGTGGGGGGGCACTTGCCCGCAATGCCCCCCCGGTTCTGCGGCCTCTGCGCACAGACTAAACACGCATGCGAATTTAAAGAAGCTTGGTACAGTAAAGACAACGACACAATAAACAGACATATCGACATACCCATCATATACTCACAACTAAAGAAAAAGGACAAAAAAAACTACAAACAACACCAAAACTAAAACACTACACTCTAATATTATTAACATAAATCATATTAACAATACACCAAAACCCATGGCAACGCATTTCCCCTCATCCAATCACATTAATCCACCCACTTATCCAATTAGACGCTCTAAACGTCTCCAAGCTAAAAAGCACGTGTAAATAAATATCCTCATTCTGATGAAGGCTCGAAGCAACGAGTCGAAAGCTCAACAAAAAATCAATTAAAAATCCGGAAAAACTTTCATCTTTTATATATATTAACTATTATATATATATATATATATTAAATCTGATAATGATAAGGATTCTCTGGATTTATTTTAAATTTTATTAAGCTTTCAACTCGGTGTTTCGAGCCTTGTGACAATATATTA